CAGTCGGCGGGCGTGGCCAGACGGAGAGTGGGCGTGGCCACAGAGGGCGGGCGCTTCCTGAGAGGGCGTGGCCAGGGCACAGCGTCTGGGAACCGGCCTCACAGTCACCTGGTCACCCACGCAACCCCCACTCCTCCCTCCCTCCTGTCCCCCTGCACTCGCTCCGCAAGTCCAGGTGAGGCCGGCTCCGTGCTCAGGCTCCTGGGGTCCTGGGTGCAGGGCAATCTCCTCCGCAGCCCCGGGGTTAGGGCGGGCTTTTCTGGGCTGCCTGGTGGGCTCTGCCCTAGAGCCCAGAGCGTGATGACGCCCCCGCGGGGCAGGCTCACCTCAACACGTCCCACCAGACTGGCGTCCCCAGCATCGATCACCCATCGATCACAAAGCCGCCTCTGGAAACCAACGTCCCCGGAGGCCGGCCTGAGGGGGCGGGAGGCTCTGGCTGGCGTCCACCTTCCCTACTCCTGGTGCCCCTGGGTGAGAGCTGGGAGCTGGAGCCCACCGAGGCACCAACGGGGACCAGGGATGCCTCCACCGGGCTGCTGTGGAGCCTGTGCCCTCCCAGGGGCCAGCGTTGGGCTGCCAGCAGGTGGGCTTCCCCTGGCCCGGGGCCTGTGCTCCAGACCTGTGTCAGTCCTTGGTGACAAGATGGTGACCCCAGGACAGGCCTGCTGAGGAGCGGCGGGGGGAGGGGGTGTCCGTGGTGGACAGTGACAGTCAGGGCTGGACAGGAAGCGCTGCTGCTCCATGGCTGATGTGTCCTCATGGAGAGGCTGAGAGCTGGGGCTGGGCCAGTGACTCTCTGGGTGGCAACTGCCCAAGGGTGGCAGGGGCTGCGGTCCCTGGTCCACCAACCTTGGGGACCAGAGAGCACGAATGGACTTGGGTTTGGGGTTTGGTTTGCATCTGAGGAGCTGGACCCACCCCTGCCTCCCTCAAGCCTGGATCCTGGCTTCCAGGTCAGGTGACACCAGGGCAGGCTACTTGGAGTAGCTGAGCCCTGACCGTCGACACTGCTGGTGTCCCCTCCTCAGGATGGTTGTGTCCCGGGCCGTGGATCCCTGTGCAGGAGCAGGTCCAGCCATGGGGACGAGACCGCCCCCCCCATAGGCAGGCGTGTGGGTGAGGGTCGCATCTGTCCCCCTACCAGCTGTGGAGGAAACCGTGTGTGGTTTGGAGGGAGGTAGGGGATGCCGGGGAGGGGCATTCTGGGGGCAGAGCCCACAGCCAGGTGCCAGTCGTCTGGGAAGACGGAGCGATGATGTTTCACGGGTGAAGTTGGCAGGCATGAGGTCATGGGAACAGCCCGCCTTGCTCTGTTCCTCCACCCAGCGCCCCTTTCTGGGCTGTGGGCACTTGCTAAGCCTCGGTCCTCTCCAGGGAACCCCACCCTCCCGGCCCTCCCCCGCCATCACTCCTCTGTCCCCAGCACAGCAGCCCTGACGTTCCGCGCCCCGCCATGCCCTCTGCTGACTCTGTGCCCCCACCTGTGCTGGGGTCCTGCGGAGCCCCCGCCCCCAGGCCTGACCCACGTGACCTCTTCCTCCCTCCTTCCTTTCAGATGTTCAAGCTGCTGGCCAGAGCCTACGCTGACGTCCACCCTATGATGACTGACAGGTCGGAGCACAGGTGCGGGGGCAACTTCCTGAAGCAGGGCAGCATCATCAACGGTGCCGACTGGTACAGCTTCACGGGAGGTGTGTGCTGCGGGGACGGGGCCTCGGACCCCTGGGTAACTCGCAGACGGGTCCAGAGGCTGGGGGCCCACTGCCCTGCTAGGGGCGGAGTGCTGGGCGGAGCCTGGCTGGGCTTCAGTTGCTGTTTCCGCTCTCGCCATGCCCGAGGCTGGGTGTGACCAGCTGCCCTGTGGCCGTGGCTGTCCTTTCTGTCCTCTGCCTTTTGATTGAGCGCATGCGTGCCACAATTCTGCTCGTGAGCAGCCCTCCCCTGCTCAGCGGCCGGCAGGCTGTGTACCAGTGTGGTCTGTGCACAGGCCACACTGCCCTCTTAGGTCGTGCAGGACGCACACACCAACTCCCTCCTGCACTCAGGAGCTCGGCTCTGCGGTTCTGCAGCTGTAGCTGCCCTGGGCACCAGGCCAGGCCACACGCATGCCACACCCACGCATCCCTTCTCTGCCTCCCCGTGCCTGTACCGCACCTGTCCGCTGTGTGGATGAGGACAAGGGCAAGACTCGTCCCGGGTGGTGGCCCTGGTGGCCGGGGGTGGGGGGACCCCTACTGCAGCCCACCCCCCTCTTCTTGCCTGAAGCCATGGTCAGGCCTGCGGTGAGCTACCCTGCTGTCCCCATGACACTCTCGAGGCAGGGCAGCTTCTCCTCCGCCCCGGACTGGCCATGTAGGGTTCCCAACTCCGGGGCTCAGTCGTGGCTCCATCATCCCTGGGGTCTGCCATGGCCCCGGGGTGGGCTGAGCCAGGAGAGGCCGGCAGCTTCTCGGTGTGCTCCTTGCTGCTGCCCACACCCACGCACTGCCTCAGGGCGGTGTGTGCCCGAGGCCACCGGTCCTCTGTGGTGCCAGCCCCCACCCGGGTTCAGGGTCCAGCTCCATGGACTGGGCAGACCCTCCTGCGCCCAGCACCCCACCGTCCGGGATGAGACGGTGGCCTCGGCCTGACGTGGCTGCTCCGCCCGCCCGCCCCCCGGCATGTCTGTTCACATACCTCCAGCACCCCACCGTCCGGGATGAGACGGTGGCCTCGGCCTGACGTGGCTGCTCCGCCCGCCCGCCCGCAGGTATGTCTGACTTCAACTACCTGCACACCAACTGCTTCGAGATCACAGTGGAGCTGGGCTGTGTGAAGTTTCCGCCTGAGGAGGCGCTGTACGGGCTCTGGCAGCACAACAAGGAGCCACTGCTCAGCTTCCTGGAGATGGTGAGCGGGTGGGAGAGCCTCGCCGGGCGGCCCTGTCGCTGTGCCCTGTCGCTGTGCCCGGCTCCTCGCTGTGGCCACCTTGAGCCTGGGGGTCCGGGGCCCAGGGCGTACTTGGACCTGGAGAGCAGAGGCCTCAGCCTGAAGGGACACGGCCGACTCGGAGGCGGGGGCTCCCTGGAGGAGCTGGCTGCCAGCTTCACCTAGGAGGGGAAACCCGAACCGAGACAGACAGGGAGCACTCTGAGGGAGGGTGGTGGCTGCGGAAGTTCCGAAGGGCACGGGAGGCCCTGAGGCTCCTGCGGTGCACTGAGTGGTGTGGCAGGACCACGGGTGGGGCAGAACCAGGTGCCTGCCGGAGGCCCCCACTGTTGGACAGGTGGCGGGTGGGAGGACAGAAGCCCTGCTGGACCCAGAGAGCCACGGTCACCCTGAAACTTTGGGTCATGGGAGTGTGGGTCCCTGGGTGCCCACTGCACCTCGCCCAGCACGGCGCGGAGGGACTGGGGACCCTGAGGAGCTCGGGGTGACACTACCCCGAGCAGTGACTTCCTCCAGTGTGCAGTCACACGCGCGGTCGGTTGGTACGGGGGTCCCTGAGATGCAAGAGTGGCACCGGGTGGCCTGGGCAGCCGGGAGCAGGTGCTCTGGTTATAGCAGAGGAAGTGCAGGTCTGGGTCACAGGGGCAGGAGCAGCGGGGAAGGGAGCGGTGTGCCCTTACCTGTGGCCCAGCCAGTCCTGTCTGGCCACCCTCCTTTCTGAAGACCGGCAGCTTTCCTTGGGGTCAGTGTGGACAGCAGTAGCAGCAACAGGGAAAAAGCAAACCCCGGATGATAACAGTTGATCTCGTCTCAGCTCCGGCTCTGTGTTGGCGGCTGCCCCGAGATGTGGCCTGACCCTTGGATAAGGGGCGCCACGCATCTGTTTTACGGCCATCTGCACAATGAGCTCTGGGAGCAGCTGTGAGGTCGGGGGGACGGAGATCTGCGTGGTGCCCAGCAGGGGGCGGCTGGCCGCTCTGGCCTGGCCTTGCCGACGGTGGATCCAGGCGGGCTGACAGCCGTGATAAGATCAGGCCTGTCGGGGCCCATTGAGGCTGTCCTCTCGGTGAGGTTGAGCAGGCCTCTCAGGGGGCAGGGCAGCGCTGTCTCTGTCCCCGCTGGTGGCATCCACAGCACAGGGAAGGCCTCTGTCAGGTGCAGGATGTCACCTCTGTGTGAACCGCCGGTGGGGCCCCGTGTGTCTCCTGCTCTTGGTGGACACAGAGGTGGTGGACACCTGACAGGAAATGAGGGCTGGAGGCATTATGGGGGCTTCCCAGGAGCGGGAGGGATGGAAGGAGCTGGCGAAGGCGTGGTGAGCGACGAGGTGAGGGAGGAGGACAGAGGGAGACAGCCCCGTGGGCTGGGAGGGCAGGCAGGCTGTCCGGGAGCCACGGGTCCCTCACTGACTGGGAAGGCACTGCAGCTCCACCCTGGGCTCAGCCAGGAAGCAGGGCGTGGAGAGAGCCTGGCCCCTGGGAGCTGCACAGCCCACGCCACCCCATCCTGCCCTCCGCCTCCCTGCAGGCACACCGGGGCATCAAAGGCATGGTGGTGGACAGGTTCGGGAAGCCGGTCAAGGATGCCCGCATCATTGTCAAGGGCATCCACCACGATGTCACCACAGGTGAGCACGGGGCCTGGCCTGGGCCGTCTGCTGGTGGCTGGGATGCGGGGATGGCGCCGGGGGCTCCCTCTGTCCTGGGCCCGGGAAGGCAGTGGGGCCCGGCTCCCGAACGATGATTGGTGTGAGTTCTGTGGCCCCAGCGAGAGCCACCACCCCTGAGACGGCAGGAGGGAGCCACCTGCACCCAAGCCCAGGCGGGCCTCCCAGAGTGCACATTGCCCTGCGGAGCCGCCCGCACAGCTGACTGGCACAGTACCGTAGACGTGTGTTACCAGGCAGGGCTTCGGGGTGAGCAGGAGTTGGACGGAGAGAGGAGGTGGAAGGATGTCCTGGTTGGCTGTGAAGGAGAGGCAGATGTGGGGTCAGTGTGGCCCTCGTGGCAGCCTCCCCCACAAACACTGGTCACTGCTCAGACCGCGGCCAGGGCGGGCTGGTGAGAGTCCTTTGCTTCTCTCTGAAGCTCCGGACGGAGACTACTGGAGACTCCTCCCACCGGGGTCACACATGGTCACTGCACAGGCGCCCGGCCACGCCAGGGTCGTGAAGAGAGTCACCATCCCCCTCCGCATGAAGAGGGCCGGCCGCGTGGACTTCATCCTGCAGCCCCTGGAAACAGGGCCCAAGAAGTTCCTGCCCGCGCTCCGCAGAGCTGTGACCCCTTTCTGGGTTGTGCGGGCCGAGCAGGAGCCCGAGCAGCTGGGGGCGCACAGGTTGCCGGGGGGCAGTGGGACCAAGCCCTGGTGGTGGGCCTACTTCACGTCCCTGAGCCCCCACAGGCCACGCTGGCTGCTCAAGTACTAGGGGCCGAGCCGCACCCAGGGCCGGGCTGTTTCCCCACCCAACATGGAACCTGCCATCGCCATTTATTAAAGGTTTTTGTTCATATCTGCTGTGAGGAGGGCCTCCGGGGAGGGACCTGGGATCTGCACTGGTCTCCAGGACCATGAGCCTTGAGTTGGCTCCACAGAAGGGAAACTGAGGCAGGGTAGGGCAGAGGGGAGCTGCACCCAGGGTCTATGTGGAAGGCTGGTATCCAGGTAGTGAGGACAATGTGGACGTGGATGGGGGGAAGCAGGGTCACCCCAAGGCCGGGCAGGTGATAAGGACCTGGCCCCAGGGCCACACTCAGGCTTCCTCGGCCCTGACTCCGGCAGGACAGTCTTCTTCCATTTCTCTCTCATCCCTGGGACACCACCAACTCCCATCCAGGGACCTGCGAAGCCCCGTGGTGCCCCTCCTGGACCACCAGTGTCACCACCAAGGGCCGTGCATCCCAGCTGTGCCAGGCAGGGAGCCAGAGAGTGGGCAGAGAAGGTGTATTGGTCACCGAGGGCTGCGGAGAGCAGAGCAGGTAGGTCTGAGGCAGAAGGACGGGCCAGGCGTGCAGCGACGACTGGTGGACACCTCCTCCTGTCCGGGCCCTCTCCGCGTGTCTGTGTCCCAGTCTCCTCGCATGTGGCGGCCTCATTGTGCCTCCTGACTTCGTGAAGACTCTGTCTCAAATAAGGCCAGCTCCCAGGTTCTGGGGCTTGGACCCCAAGGTGAACTCGGGCCCAGCCCAGTGCCTGGCACCCTGGAGCAGCTGTGGGTCCTGGCCAGGCCTGGCGAGGTCACTGTGGAGGGCAGTGTCCCCTGAGCATGATGACACTGCCCTGCACAGCCCCTTCCTGCACCCTGCCCACCTGTGCTCCCAGGGAGACCCTGGGCCTGTGGAGCAGGTGCTTGAGGGCCTGGAGGTGGCATCTAGGGACACGGTGGGCAGGATGCCACCTGGGAGCTGGGCGTGGTATTTGCCGAGTGCTACTTGCACCTCTAGGGTGCCCTGGAATGTATGCTGGTGTCTTTGGATGTGGGGTCCTGTGCCCCATGTTTACGCAGGTGGCCGAGGCTCCTAGGTTGGCGCTCAGTGGCCCCACAGCATTTGGGTGCCGTGCTGGGGTCTGCTGGCCCCCTGGGAGCCTGGGACTCAAGGACCTCTCTGCCCACCCTGCAAATGTGAGCATAAGCCCTCACTCGGCTCACCTGGCCTTTGTTGGTGGTGGGTGTGTGTGCAGAGCCCTCTGCAGCCCTGACCTCTGCCTCATCAGCCAGCCCCAAGGCCATTGGCGGGGACGGCAGGGCAGGGCGGGGCCAGGACGGTGGCCAGGATGCAGCACCCGCCCACTCCTTCCTGGTGTCCACCTCGCCCTGCACACCGCCAGTGGCACGCCCTTCGTGGTCCATGCACCCCTGTGACCGAACCCCAGTGTCCTTGGTGACAGCCTCGCCATCTTCCTGACCCCTGGATCTGGTGAGGACTGGTGTTGGGAGCTGTTTTTAGGTACTTCCTGCCTTGAGGCCCAGTCCATGGACAGAGCTGGAGATGGGTTTCTTCTTAAGGAAAAATACAGATGGAGGCAGAACGATCACAAGTTCGAGGCCTGCCTGGGGAATTTAGTGAGACTCTGTTCTTATAAAATGGGGATGAAGCTCAGTGGGAAGCCTTGGGTTCAATCCCGGGGCCACCAGAAAGGGGATGGAAACACAGAGAGCGACACTTGCCTTGACCCCTTGCTTCCGTGCTTGTGGGTCCCCTCGTCCTGGGCAGAACCCCCAGGGTCCAACTCATGGCCTTAGTTGTTTCTGATCTCAGCAGCCAAGCGGACCCCACTGTGATGGGAGCAGGGGACACAGCGCCCTGAAAACCCAGTGCTGCACTGGGAGAAGGGAGCCAGGGTGGGGCAGATCCAGGCACAGGCCCTGGGAGGGACGGCCACACTTAGGACACGCGGGTGCTGAGCAGCTGTGTGACACTGCTCTGGAGCCAGAAACTCGGGTTGCCAAGCACAGGGCTCGAGGCTGAACCCCAGGAGAGAGCGGTGCCTCTGGGCGCAGACACCCAGGGGAACGAATGGAAAACGCAGAGGGAAGGAAGGAGTGAGGACAGACCCGAGTCCAGTGCAAGCGACAGGGAAGCAGAAGGAGGGCGGAGAGAGAGAGGGTCTTGGCGCTGACGGGAGGGCTGGGTGTGGCTCAGGCGAGCGCTGGGACTAGCATGCCAAGGCCCTGTGTCTCAGGGAAGGGAGGAGGGCAGGAGGGAGGGTGAAGTCAATCGATCACTCAGTCGATGGATCACTAAGTTGTAGCCGACACTGATGCGGGAAGACACAGGTACGTTCTCACACCATTCCTGACCTAGAAGGAAAAAGCAAAAACCTTCGTACTTTTCTATCATTCTGCTTCTCACTACTGAAACAGGATGCCTGAGGGTACTGACTATGCGGGGAAGGCTGGGTCAGCTGCCAGTCCTGGGGCCTCAGGGCCCTGGCGGGGGTCAGAGAGGCCCGGGCAGGAGCGCCTCATGGCCACATCCAATCGGCCACGATGGTCCTGTCACTGAGAGCTGGGAAGGCTGGGCCGGTGTCTGCATGGTGTCCAGAGGCCGGGTCCTCCCGAGCCCATGCCCAGGATGGCAGCAATTCTGAGCCTCGTGCTGCAGAGGCAGAGTGAGGCTGGACTCCCCACAAAACGGACCATCCATCCATCCGTCCATCCGTCCTTCCATCCTCTCTTCCATTAAAGAGCTGTCTCTGCTTTAAAGATCACAAATGATGGAGCTAGAGAGGTGTCTGATGCCAGGTCCAGGGGGATGCCGGGCATGGAGGTGGGGTGGGAAAGAGGAACACTTGGAAGGGTGGAAAGGATGATTTGTGACTGACATGAAATAACCAAGCCAGTTACGCTCTAATCCACTCAGCGGCTGCTGACACAGAGCCACGTTGTCTAAACGGACGAGGAGACCTTAATAGAGCAGGCGTCCAGCAAGACAGGCAGCACCATCTTCAGAAGCAGACCAGCTTAGTAGATACCAAGCACACAAATCAGGTTTTAGAGAAACTGAACCCCATAATCCATTCAATGCATTTATAAACATTTCATATTTCAAGTAGATCACCCAATTTTTTCAAAGACTTTTTGGTCTTTCAAAACTAGGGTGATGTACTTAGTTATAAAGAAAATCTAGAGATTTTTACTAGTCATGTGCTACAAAAATTAGAAAGAATACAATTTTGCTGCTTTTCTTCTCCACAACACCCACTTTCCCGCTTGGATGGGAAGACACAGCCTTCTGCTCCCGCTCTGTCTTGGAGAAGAGGCCTGTGGCAGCAGGAGAGTGACTGGCTGCAGTGGACACTCACTCTAGACATGAAAGTCTGGGCTGTGAGGGTCAGGCTCCAGGTCTCACTGCTCCACCACCCCAGGGGTGGGCGCCCTCCTGGATGCTCCCAGTTTTCCCCACTTGGCCCCATTGGAAGGGGCAAGGGCAGGCCCCCAGGCTAGACCATCAGACCTTCTTGCTTCCCATTGGTCAGAACACAGTCACATGATCACTTCCAAGGAATGCTGGGAGATGCAGTTTTTGTCCTGGGAGGGCGTACATTCAGTGAAGATGATTGTTATTATAAGGAGGGAATGAACTCAGGAAGACAGATCTGCACAACATTCTTGGATTTTAAAGCAATGAAAACTGAAATCAGAGACTGATCTTAGAGCACTGCAAAGGAGAAATCCTCTCTGGGAGACCAGGAAAGCCTTCCACATGCTCATCCTAGAAGAGGAGGCTGAAAGTAAGGGAATCCATTGATCGTCCTAGGAGAGCATTTTACAGAAGAGATGAAAGCACTGGGGCTAAATCCTAAAATAAAATAGGAAGCAAACAGCCAGAACCAGCAGAAATAATTCAGAACCCCCGGGCTGGTTCTTTACGGAGACCCAGGGAACAGCGACACGCCTCACAGACCTGGCCACGAAATAAACAGCAGAAGAGTGGAAAATGAAGAAAGACGTGAAAGTAAAATGCTGGAAGAGATTCAGAAGAGTTTTACAACTCTATCTCACTTCACGTAAACTTTCAATAGAATTGAAGACTTTGAGATGCTGTCTAGGAAAAATACAAACTAAACAGGTAGAGTATTAAAAAATATGGGCATAACTTGCAGAACTGACCCAAGAGGAGGAGGAAGGTGGCGTGCCCCGAGAGAGACGGGGAGCCATCGCTGGGGCAGTGCGGGGGACGGTGAGAAAGTGCTGGAATTAGGTGGTGGCTGTAGCTGTGCCCGTCTGGCAATCAGTCAAACCCGAAATCACACGCGTCGTGTTGGTGAGTTCTGTGTTCTGAGAATTGTACCTCAGTAGTGCAGCCAGGAAGCGAATGAGACCAATGGGAACAGGAAATGGGCCTGCCCTTGGCCGGCGTGTGCCCAGCGGCTGGCTCACCCCGCCTGCCCTCTGGGTGCAGCGCAGGGTCAGGGGGCTGGTGTGTGACCCCGAGTCAGGTGCACACTGACTGGGATGGGGAACCATCAACCTGGAACCCCAACACCGAGGGCAGAGTGGCCTGCTTTCTGTGAAGAGGAAGGAGCTGCTTTCTGAGCAGAAGGGCAGGGGGTGGCGAGGGCAGTGCCCCCAGAAATGGGCAGGTCACGGTCAGGATAATGGCATGGCCTCTCCCATTCCCTGCAGCCCTCAGCACTGGTTTGGGGGCTCGGGAGAATCCAGGACCTCAGATCCCAGTAGGACCTTGAGGCTCACTGAGATTCACCTTAGCCCTTGAGTCTCCCTCCTACCTGCTGGCCTCCCCAGCTTCGCTTGCTGCTCTCAGGGATGGGGTGCATTTCCCTTGTGGGGACCCCGGTGCTCCCCATGGTTCTTCCACATCCCCATACTTCTTTGGTCTGTCCTCTGAGGTCCCAGGGCCTAGACCAACCATCTCTCTTCCTGCTGACCCTCTTCCTCTACCCTGGCAGGCTGCAGCCTGGCTGCTGTCCCAGCCCCTTCTCCCAGTGGTGCGTGAGGAGAGCCGCCATGTGGGGCCTGTGCCGCCCGG